AAATTCGTAGTGGTCGGTTTAGAAAAGGATTTGATAATTTTATTGATCCATTTTCATAATTTCAGTCTATAGAAGTATGTTGAACATTCAACATGCCAGTTCCTGTAAAATATAAATGTCCAAAATGTGGAGGTGAAACAGATACTCCTAACTTACCATGTATATACTGCTACTATAAAGATCATATAAGAGATCATTGCAAAACAAAACATGTGCATCTGTACTATTGAATAAAGTATTTTTATAGAATGTTTGTGAAATTTTGCATAGGTATATAAGCCTATCATTCAAATAAATAGATTCAGTTTATTTGTATTTTCGGAAGCCTTAGGAGACATGGATTCAAAAATATCAGATGTGGTTGATTTAAAAAGGAAACTGATTAAGAAAAGAAAAGATTTACAAAGAAAATTAGAACTAATTAAAGCAACTCAACGAAATGAAGAGAAAAAGTATGAACCCCTCACTAAACATTTGGAAACATTAATTGAGAGACGGAGTGAAAATCCAATAAAAAGTAATCAAGATGTGTTGAACATTGAGGACAGTACACCTACAAAGCGAAAGTTAGAAAATACAATTCTGTCTCCTGTTCGTGAGAAAAAAACTATTGTTACTACACCAAAGCAAGCAGAAATTTTCACGCCAAGACAAAAAAGAATTGCTACAAAAGTTGCTAACCTTGTGAAAAGAATCGATGCCATCAAAAATGAAAAAGAAGATCGAATGAGTCCGATTAGTTCAAAATATGATGTTTTATCACAGGAAGATTTCGAAGAATCAATAAATAAAACAGATGCACAGGACAATGTGTTCCAATACATTCCCGAGGAAGACAATGATAATTATAACTTCAATGAGGTTCTTGAAAAATCTGTTCAGTTAAGTAAAAATTATATTAAAAACATCGTTGATACAGACGTTTACAACGAATATTTAAATGATTTTGATGAATTACCCAGAAAATATATTGACGAAATGCATCACGATGCAGAAAGTAAATTTGATCACAGAACAGGCGTAAGACATGACACTTTCTCAGAGAAATTTTATATTGGTTCGAAGGAGGTACAATTTATAGGTCCAGATATAAAAATAGACAATGAAATCTTTAAAGGGACTCCTGGAATTTATGAACTTATTTTTAAAAAGAAGCCTGTTCATTTTACTACGGAAGACAAGGAAATTTACAAAAAAATTTTAGAAAAAACCAATGCATATCGAAGAAATTTCGATGAAAATGATCGAATATTGGGTACAAGTTCGATGAAATACAAAAATATTATAGGACCATTATTCTCAACTCTCACGAAGTATAAAAAACCGAAGAAAGGTGGTCAAGTACTATTTAAAGAAGTAAACACAAATAAAGTTGATTATGTGTATTGGGAAGATCCAAATGAATTAGTTGAAAGACTGAAGTTGTTAGTCGCTTCCCAGACAGCAGGCCATTCGGGTCATCAAAACGAAATCGTTTCTATAATAGAAGAACTACGCGAAGCTAAAATTATTGCTTAATATGACTCTGGATAAATTCGGGCGTCATTTGTTAAAACATGCTAAACTTTCAGGTTCTATCGACAATGATATGATTACTATTTCAAACTATATGTTCTATAATCTGATATTTCGCTTCGAATCCGATAAAACCGTGGAAAACACGTATGTATTAAATTCTAAAGAAACGCACTATACGTTTCCTTTAGAAATTGGAACCCTTACAAAATTGAATATTACCATTAATGAAATAAATGTTTATGTAAATAACAAATTTTTTAGTAAAGAAGAATTGAAAGGATTTGTACTACGTAACGGTGATCGAATATCGTTCAAATATGCTGTAAATAAAACAGAAAATGTACCAAATTTGTTCGCAGAAATGATAATAAAATGTCCTGTTAATTTTGAAGAATCGTTAGTTAGTGCCGAGAAAGCACATTATATACATAAGACTGATAAAAATGAAACGCAAGAAGGTGTATGAGCCAACTCCCATTAAAAGAGATATTGTTGCAGAATTGCACAAACCCGTAAGAATTAATTTTAAACGACGCAAGGTTATAATAAAAGGTATTAATGAAACATTACAAGCAGATCTAGTGGAAATGATACCGTATGCTAAGATAAACAGAGGATACAAATATATACTTGTTGTTATTGACTGTTTCTCAAAATACGTGTGGGCTGTCCCTGTAAAGTCAAAAGATGCTCAACAAATCGCCACTGCAATGGAAACAATTTTATCCAAAATCGTACGGTTACCCAAAAATTTACAAACAGATCAAGGAAAAGAATTCTACAACGTAAAGTTTCAAAATCTTATGAAAAAATACAAAATTAATCATTACAATGTCTACAGTTTAAAAAAAGCCTCAATCGTCGAAAGAGTAAATCGCACATTAAAAAATTTAATGTGGAAAGAATTTAGTTTGCAAGGAAATTATAAATGGTTAGATTTATTGGCAAATGTGGTACATCGATATAATAATTCTTATCATCGTACTATAAAAATGAAACCGTCACAAGTTAACAAAAGTAATGAAAACGCTATTCTAAAAGCTGCTTATACTCAGATTAAAATAGTTAGCAATAAATCAAAATTTAAAGTTGGTGATAACGTAAGAATAAGTAAGTATCGCGGAATATTCGATAAGGGATACACACCCAATTGGTCAAATGAGATTTTCATAATAAGAAAAATTAATCTCACTAATCCCACCACATATTTTTTGAAAGATGAAAAGGGTGAAAACATTTTAGGTGGTTTCTATGAAATGGAACTATTGAAAGTTAAGCATCCAGGTGTATATCTCGTTGAAAAAGTTTTAAAAAAGAAAGGTAATCAACTTTATGTTAAATGGTTAGGATTTAATAATACCCACAACAGTTGGATTGATAAAAAAAAAATTACATAGTCGCTTTTCTCTCAGTCAGTTAACATAATTGATACGATGAAGTTGGTTGTAGTCGACGTACAAGGTTTTTGTCTACCTGAATTCATTGTAAAAGAACTTGCGATTTACGATGGAATTAACACAATACACGAAACATTCAAATCTACAAAACAACTCAAAGAAATCGATGAAAGAACGAAGAAACAAGCTAGATATCTAGAACGTTATCATCACATGTTGAGATTTAATGACGGCTTCAAGGAGCAGATATCTGTAAAAGAAATTTTGTTCAAATACATCAAGGAATATGCAGTGGAGATCTTATATGTAAAAGGAAAATGTAAAGAAAATTACCTTAGGGAAACGCTAGGAAAAGACTGCCCCAAAATTGTGAACCTCGAAACAATTGAAGACTCTGTGAAATTATCTAAAGAAATCCCAGCATGTGATAAACATATTGCTAATAATAAAAAATGTTACTGTTCTTTAAACAATGCTAAATGTATTTACAATTGGTTGTATTCAAGGTTTCCTCAATAAATAATACTATATTAAACTGTGTTTTATTTAATCGCAACACAAAACGTCAAAATAACGAACGAAAAAAAAAAACTGTCAGGTGTGGGATTCGAACCCACGCTCCCTTTCGAGAATCAGAGCTTAAATCTGACGCCTTAGACCGCTCGGCCAACCTGACTATGGAAAAACGGGTCAGGTCGATCGAGTAAAAGGCATTGCCAAAACGTACAGGTCAGGCACGTGAAGTCCTAAGGCAAGTCAGCCAAGGCCAGCCCCGTGCAGCGACCCGACCTAAAAAAAAAAAGAGGGGATAGATCTCGAGATGACCAAGGGCAATAAACGTAATTCCTACAGACGAATCCATCGACTTTTATACAAGTATAAAACGGAAGTGGGGATGCGAGATTGCGTCCGAGATCCCTCCCCGACCTAAACGAAAAGAGGGGATAGATCTCGAGATGAACGAGGGCAATAAACGACCAAGGTCGAGCAACGACTAGGTCAATGATCGCCCGATGAAAAGTAATGGGGGAGCTGGACCAGCTGGCAAGGTCAGCCACGTGCACCGACAAGCTCGACAACAAATGAAAGGTCAATGACCGCTCGATGAAAAGTAATGGGGGAGCTGGACCAGTTTGACCTCATTTGACCTGGTCTAGAACCCCCACTATATAACTACTTATAATTTGGTATACCCCTGATTTAAAAATCATGCGAGAAACTCTGCATCTAATATATAGTTCTTACAGATTATATGGGACTTTGGGTTTGAAAATAATATATAATAACTTTAAGCGTAAATATGAAGAAGCTGTTAAAAAAGCTAAAATTGCAGCTAATAATGTCTTTATTAAAAACAATTCTAATAATTCTAAAGCTATGTGGTCATTAATAAACAGAAGTAGAAAACGTACTATTCATGAAACTACAAAAATTTCCTCTAACGAATTCAATTTACATTTCTCGAGCATTGCTAAAAATATTCTTAATTCCTTACCAAATACTAATCTTGATCCTGTTAAAATTATGATATCTGTTAATAACACGTCACATATGTTCTTTAAATTCAGGACAGTTAGTGAGGTACAAGTACGTGAGGCATTGAATAAATTAAAAAATAAGAGCAGTAAAGATATTTATGGGTTCAATGTCGACGTTATAAAATCAGTAAAGGATATACTAATTGCACCTTTGACCAAATTAATAAATAAATGTATTGTTGACTCGGTTTTTCCAGACTGCTTAAAATTGGCTTTAGTATGTCCAATATACAAAAAAGGTAATGTCAATGAAGTTGATAACTATCGACCAATCTCCCTTCTTCCAGTGTTGTCTAAAGTGTTCGAAAAATTAATGTTAGAACAAATCCTTGAATTCTTTATTAGTAATAACTTGTTTTGTACAAATCAGTTTGGATTTCGAAAAGGCTTATCCACTGAAAAAGCTGTTCTATCTTTTATTGATAATGTCGTTAAATCCTTTCAAGATGGTGAATATTTTGTGTCTGCCTTTCTAGATCTTAGTAAGGCATTTGACTGCATGTCTCATGAAATACTAATCCGTAAACTTTTTTTTTACAACTTTCAGCCAGATGCCACTAGATTAATTTCATCGTATCTTTTGAATCGATTGCAAGTAGTCTCTGTTGATGGTATAGTCTCCGATAAAGAACAAATCGCGTATGGTGTACCTCAGGGGTCCATCTTAGGGCCTCTACTTTTCTTAATTTATGTGAACGATCTGCCATACTATTTCCCTGATTTTTTTACGATATTGTACGCGGACGATACTACTTTTAGTAAAAAGGCAATGTCATCTTCATTAGTAATAAGTACTCTTATGAATATATCTTCGCAAGCGGAACCTTGGTTTTTCGCCAACAAACTTTGCGTAAATAAGAACAAATCAGTTCAGATGGTATTTTCATTGAAGAAAGATAAGTCTTTTGCGGATACGAAAAGTACTAACAAGTTTCTCGGAATTGTTCTAGATACTAAATTACTTTGGCATGAACATGTGGATTATATTGTTCACATCATTTCTAAAAATACTTATCTCTTAAGAAACTTATCAAATCATGTTGATCAAAATATATTAAAAATTGCATATTATGCGCTAATACAATCTCACTTAGTATATGGTATACTAATCTGGGGACACAGCGCCTCGTCACAAAACCTTTTTAGGCTTCAAAGAAGAGCTATTAGAATCCTTTCAGGTATTGGTTATCGTAATGATTGCAAATTTTCATTTCAATCCTTAAATATTTTGACATTGCCCTGCTTGTACATCTATCACTGTTTTAAATTTTTAGTAAACCAAATTAATCAATTTCCTACACTGAGTTCTTTCCATGACTATAATACCAGGTCCACAAATTTGTTAATCGAAAATTTGAGAATAAACCGTTGCAGAACTGCCAGGAACTATTTCTGTATAGTGTTCTTTAACAAATTACCTCAGAGTTTCCGCAACCTTCCACCATCTCAATTTCTAAAAAAAATCAAGGATGTCTTAACCGAAAATAGTTTTTATAGTTTCAATGAATATTTTCAATATAATTTTGAGTAATTTCTTGTTTATCATGTAGCTAGCTCATAATCTACATAAGTATTGTATTGCATGGTTTTTATGTTTATTTTTACTATTACATTCTTGTAAACTTTGGACGAGTGTATAAACTTTATGTTTTTAGCACAATAAAATTACTTACTTACTTACTTACTTACTATATTTCAACGTTTTTTGATGGTTCTGAGCCACCAAACACACTTAAAGCATGCAGAATCGACTCAGAATAGGAAAAGGAGACGTTTAGGTCAATTTTATGCATTCTGGCGTTCGTAGATACAAGAAAACTGTTAAAATTCTTCAGAAACGTCACTTTTGAAGTGTTTTCTTGTACTTTTAAGCCAATCAGATACCCTACGGCCTCGGAAAGTGCAACGAAACCATCAAATTTTAGCTAGAAACTGTATTTTTGTCGATTTTTATTGAATTTGAACTATATTTCAACGTTTTTTGATGGTTCTGAGCCACCAAACTCACTTAAAGCATGCAGAATCGACTCAGAATAGGAAAAGGAGACGTTTAGGTCAATTTTATGCATTCTGGCGTTCGTAGATACAAGAAAACTGTTAAAATTCTTCAGAAACGTCACTTTTGAAGTGTTTTCTTGTACTTTTAAGCCAATCAGATACCCTACGGGCTCGGAAAGTGCAACGAAACCATCAAATTTTAGCTAGAAACTGTATTTTTGTCGATTTTTATTGAATTTGAACTATATTTCAACGTTTTTTGATGGTTCTGAGCCACCAAACACACTTAAAGCATGCAGAATCGACTCAGAATAGGAAAAGGAGACGTTTAGGTCAATTTTATGCATTCTGGCGTTCGTAGATACAAGAAAACTGTTAAAATTCTTCAGAAACGTCACTTTTGAAGTGTTTTCTTGTACTTTTAAGCCAATCAGATACCCTACGGGCTCGGAAAGTGCAACGAAACCATCAAATTTTAGCTAGAAACTGTATTTTTGTCGATTTTTATTGAATTTGAACTATATTTCAACGTTTTTTGATGGTTCTGAGCCACCAAACACACTTAAAGCATGCAGAATCGACTCAGAATAGGAAAAGGAGACGTTTAGGTCAATTTTATGCATTCTGGCGTTCGTAGATACAAGAAAACTGTTAAAATTCTTCAGAAACGTCACTTTTGAAGTGTTTTCTTGTACTTTTAAGCCAATCAGATACCCTACGGGCTCGGAAAGTGCAACGAAACCATCAAATTTTAGCTAGAAACTGTATTTTTGTCGATTTTTTTTGAATTTGAACTATATTTCAACGTTTGTTGATGGTTCTGAGCCACCAAACACACTTAAAGCATGCAGAATCGACTCAGAATAGGAAAAGGAGACGTTTAGGTCAATTTTATGCATTCTGGCGTTCGTAGATACAAGAAAACTGTTAAAATTCTTTAGAAACGTCACTTTTGAAGTGTTTTCTTGTACTTTTAAGCCAATCAGATACCCTACGGGCTCGGAAAGTGCAACGAAACCATGAAATTTTAGCTAGAAACTGTATTTTTGTCGATTTTTATTGAATTTGAACTATATTTCAACGTTTTTTGATGGTTCTGAGCCACCAAACACACTTAAAGCATGCAGAATCGACTCAGAATAGGAAAAGGAGACGTTTAGGTCAATTTTATGCATTCTGGCGTTCGTAGATACAAGAAAACTGTTAAAATTCTTCAGAAACGTCACTTTTGAAGTGTTTTCTTGTACTTTTAAGCCAATCAGATACCCTACGGCCTCGGAAAGTGCAACGAAACCATCAAATTTTAGCTAGAAACTGTATTTTTGTCGATTTTTATTGAATTTGAACTATATTTCAACGTTTTTTGATGGTTCTGAGCCACCAAACACACTTAAAGCATGCAGAATCGACTCAGAATAGGAAAAGGAGACGTTTAGGTCAATTTTATGCATTCTGGCGTTCGTAGATACAAGAAAACTGTTAAAATTCTTCAGAAACGTCACTTTTGAAGTGTTTTCTTGTACTTTTAAGCCAATCAGATACCCTACGGGCTCGGAAAGTGCAACGAAACCATCAAATTTTAGCTAGAAACTGTATTTTTGTCGATTTTTATTGAATTTGAACTATATTTCAACGTTTTTTGATGGTTCTGAGCCACCAAACACACTTAAAGCATGCAGAATCGACTCAGAATAGGAAAAGGAGACGTTTAGGTCAATTTTATGCATTCTGGCGTTCGTAGATACAAGAAAACTGTTAAAATTCTTCAGAAACGTCACTTTTGAAGTGTTTTCTTGTACTTTTAAGCCAATCAGATACCCTACGGGCTCGGAAAGTGCAACGAAACCATCAAATTTTAGCTAGAAACTGTATTTTTGTCGATTTTTATTGAATTTGAACTACATTTCAACGTTTTTTGATGGTTCTGAGCCACCAAACACACTTAAAGCATGCAGAATCGACTCAGAATAGGAAAAGGAAAGGTTTAGGTCAATTTTATGCATTCTGGCGTTCGTAGATACAAGAAAACTGTTAAAATTCTTCAGAAACGTCACTTTTGAAGTGTTTTCTTGTACTTTTAAGCCAATCAGATACCCTACGGGCTCGGAAAGTGCAACGAAACCATCAAATTTTAGCTAGAAACTGTATTTTTGTCGATTTTTATTGAATTTGAACTATATTTCAACGTTTTTTGATGGTTCTGAGCCACCAAACACACTTAAAGCATGCAGAATCGATTCAGAATAGGAAAAGGAGACGTTTAGGTCAATTTTATGCATTCTGGCGTTCGTAGATACAAGAAAACTGTTAAAATTCTTCAGAAACGTCACTTTTGAAGTGATTTCTTGTACTTTTAAGCCAATCAGATACCCTACGGGCTCGGAAAGTGCAACGAAACCATCAAATTTTAGCTAGAAACTGAATTTTTGTCGATTTTTATTGAATTTGAACTATATTTCAACGTTTTTTGATGGTTCTGAGCCACCAAACACACTTAAAGCATGCAGAATCGACTCAGAATAGGAAAAGGAGACGTTTAGGTCAATTTTATGCATTCTGGCGTTCGTAGATACAAGAAAACTGTTAAAATTCTTCAGAAACGTCACTTTTGAAGTGTTTTCTTGTACTTTTAAGCCAATCAGATACCCTACGGGCTCGGAAAGTGCAACGAAACCATCAAATTTTAGCTAGAAACTGTATTTTTGTCGATTTTTATTGAATTTGAACTATATTTCAACGTTTTTTGATGGTTCTGAGCCACCAAACACACTTAAAGCATGCAGAATCGACTCAGAATAGGAAAAGGAGACGTTTAGGTCAATTTTATGCATTCTGGCGTTCGTGGATACAAGAAAACTGTTAAAGTTCTTCAGAAACGTCACTTTTGAAGTGTTTTCTTGTACTTTTAAGCCAATCAGATACCCTACGAGCTCGGAAAGTGCAACGAAACCATCAAATTTTAGCTAGAAACTGTATTTTTGTCGATTTTTATTGAATTTGAACTATATTTCAACGTTTTTTGATGGTTCTGAGCCACCAAACACACTTAAAGCATGCAGAATCGACTCAGAATAGGAAAAGGAGACGTTTAGGTCAATTTTATGCATTCTGGCGTTCGTAGATACAAGAAAACTGTTAAAATTCTTCAGAAACGTCACTTTTGAAGTGTTTTCTTGTACTTTTAAGCCAATCAGATAGCCTACGGGCTCGGAAAGTGCAACGAAACCATCAAATTTTAGCTAGAAACTGTATTTTTGTCGATTTTTATTGAATTTGAACTATATTTCAACGTTTTTTGATGGTTCTGAGCCACCAAACACACTTAAAGCATGCAGAATCGACTCAGAATAGGAAAAGGAGACGTTTAGGTCAATTTTATGCATTCTGGCGTTCGTAGATACAAGAAAACTGTTAAAATTCTTCAGAAACGTCACTTTTGAAGTGTTTTCTTGTACTTTTAAGCCAATCAGAAACCCTACGGGCTCGGAAAGTGCAACGAAACCATCAAATTTTAGCTAGAAACTGTATTTTTGTCGATTTTTATTGAATTTGAACTATATTTCAACGTTTTTTGATGGTTCTGAGCCACCAAACACACTTAAAGCATGCAGAATCGACTCAGAATAGGAAAAGGAGACGTTTAGGTCAATTTTATGCATTCTGGCGTTCGTAGATACAAGAAAACTGTTAAAATTCTTCAGAAACGTCACTTTTGAAGTGTTTTCTTGTACTTTTAAGCCAATCAGATACCCTACGGGCTCGGAAAGTGCAACGAAACCATCAAATTTTAGCTAGAAACTGTATTTTTGTCGATTTTTATTGAATTTGAACTATATTTCAACGTTTTTTGATGGTTCTGAGCCACCAAACACACTGAAAGCATGCAGAATCGACTCAGAATAGGAAAAGGAGACGTTTAGGT